ATTCCTGCCCCTTCCCCCTCCCCCGACAGAAATTTTATGTTGTAATAACTAAGCAAGGACTGTAACTGTGATGTGGGTAGTCTGAATTATTGAATTATGTCTTGGGATCCTGAGGATTAGAAGGACAGCTGATATGAATTAGTGTAGTTCCCCTGAAACCCATGATGCCATGCTGATTAATAGGAACTAGAAATTTGATCCCCTTTGCCTACCTCACACAAACAGTTCAGATCTGAGCACAGCAGGCTGCTCAGGAGAAGCTGTTGGAATGGGCCTTTTCAAAAGAAATGACCAATAAATCAAAAAGGAATGAAAACAAGATGAAAAATATGAAAGAGAATAAAACACAAAAGTACTTCTGTGATGGGTCCTTTCCTCAGGGTCACTGATCTTCCTTTTGGCTCACTGAATGTCTGTAAGGGACGGTGAGCATGCCCTGCTGTGGCACTGCCTCGCTCCAGTGATGAAGCTCTTGACAGTGGGCAGGGCCAGGACAGTAGTGTATATTCTTTTGTGACTAGCATATGTAACTATCACACTTGCATTCATCACTTTCACAAATGTGAAATACATTGCTGAGTCAAGGGATTCTTTTGAAGTTGCTGAGGAAACAAAACAAAGAGAGGGAAAGGGTTTGTTTTGTTAATTTGCATATAAATCCTTAAAAAGGTTGCTCTTACAAAGCTGCACTTCGTCTCCTTCCTGGAAGTCTGCCTCACATGTCAAGAAAAAGAAAACAAATGACTTTACTAGAGATTACTGTATATTAATTGATCATTATAAATAAGGACAGTGAGGAAAACATCTGGTAAGGAACAGAGTGATGGGTTCAAAAACAGCAGGTGATTTAGCCATACGTCTTCCATCAAAATTAATAATGTCTCCAGAAAATGCTGTAGTCCTATTTTCTTTTTCTTTTATTTTTCTTCTGCAGAAGTAATAAACTGACCTGGAAAAGTGGCAACGGATCAAGGTCCATTCTGGTTTTCTCCTTTCTTAAACTATCTAACAGGTTGCTGGACTGTGCTGTGACAATCTGACAGTAATTTTGTGTATCCCGTTATAAAATGTGCAGCACTACTCTGTAGCACAGTAAGCTCTCTAAGAAAACCAAGTAATTAGAAATGAGTCATTTTGGAGGTAGACACTGAACAGTAGAGAACACTGATCGAATAACACATACGTATTGCCCACCCCAGTTTACTGAAATGGATTTTCTGAATAACTTTCTGCTGGGTCAAATAGTCATTGCCTGGCCACAAATCATGCATACCAAATTTGAAGATGAAAAGAGCTTTATACAGGATTGTAAGATATGGGCCAAAACTGGATTTATTTTGGAAAGTGGGTTCCGGCTTTAACTACTGAGTACCCTCTACTACTTCAAGATTTGCCCACAATTTTTAAAAAATGGCTTATTTTGGCAGTATAACTTAGTGGTTTCTACTAAAAAACTTAGCGGTTTCTATTAAAAAACTTAGTAGCTTCTGTCCAAAAACCTGGAGTTGGAAGGCCTGTTTTGTGTCAGGATAGATATTGAGGTCTGCATATTACTTTGTGTGCATCGATAATTATTTTACTCATATAATACCATTTAGCCAAGAATCTCAAAATACCCAATTAAAACTCTTAAGTAAAATTGGTGAGGCATTTTGTGGCTACAGACTGCAGAAACACTCTGGGGCTTCACTGATAATGCTTCTAGAATAATTATGCTCACATTCATTAAAATAGACACTAGCAATGATAAATAGCGGTATACTTAAAATCCTGCTGTACAGTAGAAGAAATGTTAAGTGGTCACTCTTAGAAAAGCCTTTTCTACTAGTTAAGCACACCCAAAAAGATAGCTCTCTTCTTTGATTCAAGATCTGAATTTACTGCATAATTTATAAAAAGAAGTAGACAAGCCAATTTTCCCAAACAGTGTTAGCATGCCTTCTGCCATGCCCGAATACAGGTAATTCACATTTTATAATATTTGTTCAATACTCATAAACATTTCCAAAGAAGACAGACATGGGAATGCCTGCAGCTGGAAGAGGGTGTAATAACAAGCCCTGAGTGCTGGTGTATGACATGTCAGAGAGAAAAGGATTGCTGTAGTCATAACCATCACTTCTGAGCTGGAATATGGGTAATAATGTGGAGAGTGTGGTCAACACAGGAAGGCTTTGATTCTTGTATGTAGGAGACTGGGTGAGAATATGTGCCTGTATGAGAAGCTGAACCAGTATGATTAGGTATTTTTTTTCCGAAATTTTAAATTACCCCACCACCATCCTTTTTTTTTTTTTTTTTACCTTTCTGTGCCACTGAAGTCTATATAGTGCACTGCTGGGGGAGGAATCAGATTTTTGTTAATCCTCTCTCATCATATTCACAACAGCTAATTTTCATGGCACTTACTGGCCTAGTCCCAGCTGTGTAAGTTTGATTCACTTAATCAGGTTATTTACCTTTCTGTGCTATGCTCTAAAAGTGTAGAAGTTGCCATAGTCTAGCTTTAAGGGATACCAACATCTCTTCAGGTCTCATAGTTTATTAGTTAAAGGCACTGCTTCATTAAAGGCATTTTGTTACGTGCTCTTGGTTTAGAAATAAACTTTCTGCTCAGACTGATATAGCAATCATCATATGCTGTCATTAGTTTTTCAAAATGGAGACAGATTTAGCCATATGTCTTTGGCTGTAAAAATTAAACTGTATGCAAACAGGAGATAAATCCAATGGTAACGTAAACTGTCTCTGTCTTCTGATCTGCAAGTGTGTCATATTTACACTGATCATGCTGTATTGTAAATTTTGATTTATAATTTTTAATGCACAAATGGTGTACCTTTACAGATAAATACATCAACTTTCCTGGAAAGTTGGAACTGGATTTTGAAATAAAAGCTTCTCAGAGTACAAACATTTCCTGATATTCAGTATTTTTTTGGTTTGTCCTTTAGTTTAGATTCGTACAGGAATGAAGTCTCATTGCAAATCTTGAATTCATACTGACCTAATGTGAGGGCAAGGGAATAGTATTTGTTCAGAACCATAGTTTTAAGCAGTGTTACCCCATGTGTGTTGAACAATGAAGGACTGATCTCCAGTATGTGTGTGTGTGTTTATAAATAAACAATTATGTGTATGATCTCAGCTGTTCTGTGCAGGGAACCCAGATTTCATGAACTGTAGATTACTTCATTTGACCACAAAAGGATTCCCTGAATGATTGCATAGTGTTGGAGAAGATTTTATCCTCTAAATATTGGAATATTTATATGAATAGTAAAACTTCTCCCATTTTCTTTTTATTAAAGGAAAACCACTGCAGGAGAATAAAAATCCTAGGGGACTGTTACTACTGTGTATCAGGATTGACCCAGCCCAAAACAGATCATGCTCATTGCTGTGTTGAAATGGGACTGGATATGATTGACACCATCACGTAAGTACTGTGCACAACGAACCCAGACAAGAGTGCTACAACAACTTCTATGTGGCGTTTAGGAAGTGTGTTCTCAGAAAAACGGCAGTGTCTGCTAGCACTGCCCACCTAGTAATTCACACGCTTGCATTCAGGTCACAGGATAGGAAAGGTCATTCTAGACACCGATTTTCCACTACATTTAATTGCTGTGAAGAAAAAGTAAGAAGTAGAGGCACATACACATACTGATTAGGGCACAGAAATATACTGGGAAATAACAAAATATTCCTATGGCCATTTACCACAAAGAAAGGAGTCCAATTTCTTGTTTTACAGGGAAAAACACTGCTCATTTTGATCATCAGTATGTAAACTCAAAGCCAGTCCTGATGTATTCATGTTGTGTATGTGTTTGTATTCTTAAAATGATAGCTTGATGATTTTTTCTTTCTATATGTCATGTTTAAACCCTTAATTTATACTGATTTTCAGAAATGTAACGGGAAATTCACTTTGCTGATCAGAAGAACTTTTTGTGCATTGATCATTATTTTAGCAAGGTGAAAAATGTGAATGTGAGACAACTGTGAAAGGACTTTTAGCAAGAGCTGAAGATCTATTTCATTACATAGGAGGGAAGGGATAAAAATGGGAAATTTCTTCACTACAGTATTGCTCTGTGCCTGTGTGCACACGTATTTTATAGGGAGGCTATAGGAAGTGCACACATGTATTAATTCTGAATATATATAAAAAATGATCAGCACAGTGCTATTACATTTGGAATGAGCTGGCACAAGTGTGTCACATCAGTGGCCTTAGCCTGTTCTGTAGTGGAAAGTGTTTGGCCACTGTTTCCAGTAGCCAGTTATTCTTCCTCTCTGTTGTCATCTGGACTGTTGGGAATATGGAGTTGTCTCAAGGTTCTGCTTCCCCTACTTAGTCCTCAAGTTTTTGCATTGTACACAGAGAACACCTACCTTTTCTGTGAAGGTGAATAGACCACAGTGTAATCGTAATTTAAAAATTTATAGTAAACTAGTAAATAAAGAAAAAAAATTATAGAATGAACAAATATAAGGCTTATGAATTCAAATTATGCATTTTTATTTGGAATATTTAACCTTCTTTCTTGTTTCTAATAAAGCTTTTACCACATCAACCATTTCATGTCTTCTATTTGTATGTGAGGATGTTTGTGCACATATATGTACACAAGGAAGTTGTTTTTCCAAAACCAAATTGTGCTTATTTGTGGAGAGTATTGATGTTATAGAAGAATGTATTATGATCCTCTCACAGAGTTCACTGTAAGTTTTGCTCAAGAGAGTTTGGTTTATCTCTGTGGAAATAATGGTTATAATTGTTCAAACCCTGCTAATGCAATGGGGAACATGGACATTACCAGACATTTTTGCTGTTTCATATCAGCCTTAAACTTTTCTATGAACCTGGATTCGTTGAGCTTTCTTTGCAGAGGACTTGAAGGCATAGAAAAAAGGAGAGAAGTACTTAAAGCAACTGAACGTTGATTCTCATTTCTAGCTCAACCCATGTGTTTTTATTATAATGGTCATTTATAAAATCTCTCAGAATGTGAAGAGTTGGGTAAATGAATCCATATTCTCTCTCTCATTCAATGCAAGCTTGTCATCTTTGTAAAAATTGTAAAATTGATTTGTAATTTGTAATTTGTACAATTGACTTTGTGATCTATGATAACATATGATAGTCTATGATACTATAAAATCCTAAAAAAATACCTAAGGTCTGCAGATTATGTATATGTGCATTCTTCCAGAAGTATATAGATACTCCATTTATAAGGAAGCCTTGGCTTTAGAAGCATAGTTAGATATACAGGCCTTGTACAGATTTTGCAAAGTCTTTTTTTTTTAAAACCCTGGAAAGCAGTAATTGATGCTTTCATCCTCTTTTAAACCTAGCATTAATCTTTAATTCATTCGCTGTGCTGTGTTTCATGTATACAAATAAGGCAGTGATATAACTGTCTTAACTTTCCTTTTTTTTAATGTTTCAGTTTTACTAATATTAAAAATGAAACAAGTTCCCTTTTTATGTTGTCATTTATTGACTGCTGTCATGATAACATAAACTTGAAAAAGGAGTTGAATTAAAAAGGAAGGAATGAACTGGGACTGTTCAGCCTGGAGAAGAGAAGGCTCAGGGGGAATCTTATCAGTACATACAAATACCTGATGGGAGGCTGTAAAGAGGACAAAGCCAAACTTTTCTCAGTGATGTACAACGTCAGGGCAAGAGGAAATGGGCACAAACTGAAATATAAGAAATTCCATTTAAATATAAGAAGAAACTTTTTTACTATGGTCAGATACTGGAGAGATTGCACTGGAAAATTGTGGAGTTTGCATCCTTGGAGAGATTTAAAAACCATCTAGACACAGTCCTGGGCAACCTTCTGTAGCTGACCCTGCTCTAAGCAGGGGGGTTGGTCTAGATGATATCCAGAGGCCCCTTCCAGCATCAGCAACTCTATGATTCTAAGTGGATGGGCTGTAGTGTGTTATCTAGACATGTTTAGTCAGAGATTGTGGTAGAAGATAACTAACTGACAATTTCAGCATTTTATTTGTTAAAGAATTCATAAATTGTAAGTCTTTATAGTGTGTAGTCAGTGGTTAGAGCACAATGAGAGGGCAAGATGGAAAAGAGGTAAGGTTATAAGAAAGTGCCAGATTTATTTAGGGCTGTTGAATGGCTAGAGACCTACTCTGCATCCTTTATACATAAGCACAATTAATTAATCCAAATTTTTTATTTTCAATGAGGAATTAGTAGTGTGAGTAAGGACTGTAAGATCCAGGCTCAACACATATTTCTTCTCTTAGTTAAAAAGAATGTGCCTGTTCTGCTTATGTTAGGAAACAGGAAGATGGTACATTCCAAGTACTATTGGCCTTGATGGCAGTACTGGATATTTTTTCTTTTTCTGCAAGCAGAGCATCATATGTTCAGATATTGTTGGATTCTGGATGAGGTTCTTTTGGTGGCAGAAGCACATGCCTAAGCCAATTGCACAAAGAACACCAAACCAGAAAAATAGGTTCTGCTGAAGATTAGGAAAAAATTCTTCACTCCTTCACAGAAGATGGATTCCCCAGATTAATTTGTTAGAAAATACATTAAGCAAATGAAAAGGAGAAGTGAAGGACTTATGGTGGTTAGGTTGGAATGTAACATTTTATTTTCTCTTGGTATGATTATTATGTGTTGCTGTTTATCAGTCCCATGAGATGCAGAGTCATTTTTGTTTTTAAACTTCCTCCTTTCATCCAGAGTTGGATGTCAGCTGGTAGTTTTCTATAAGTCTATTCACTTCACTGTAGAAATCAGGTCTTGGCATTGTAAATTTATGCTTGGAAGTCATGATCCCTAGTGACAAGTTTGTCATGTTACCTGTGATAAACTTATAAATAAAATCACTTGAACAGTGATTCAGCTGATGGATCTCTGAAAAGTGCCTGTCCCAGCGATATGTACCACCAAGATGCACTTTTTGCAGGAAATCAAGGAATAGAAGCTGCTAGTAGCTGGTTGATGGATCTGTGATTTCACTGAGTTGAATGTTATAATGAGTTCATATAAATTGATACTTTCTATTCTCTTCATGTTCTCTGTAACATTTAAGTATCCTAGAATATGGCACTGCATGTAAGTGTCACCTGAGAATGTTGCCTCATTGCATTTAGATTGAGATTTTCAGGGTACTTTTCAACAATCATTATAAAATACTTAAAAGTTTCACAATTTCATCTGCTATGTACAAAGTGTTTTTTTCAAGGGCACAGTTAAAGTCAACCAGAATCATTATGGGAGGATCTTTTTTTTTTTCCCTAAAAGAACCCAATAAAACAGATAGTGTTACAATCTGTTTCTATTCCAAAAAAATTTCTGCTGCCAATGAGTTTTGTGTCAGTGCCTCAGTACAGGCCAGGTGTTTGTTCTACTTCAGAGTCACTTAAACTGTCATGGCAGTATTTAATTGGGAGCTAAGTGCTGGATGCCACTGATGTTGCTTTCATCAGGTGAGTTTTAATTGTCAGATTTTTGTTAGTAATATAATTAAAATGGTCATGTTCATTAGCACCTGTAATACAACAGATGTTGCTCTAATGTGGCAGATGTCCTCACCTCAGTTTTGAACACTGTGTTAGGCCAAGTATCCTCTTCACCTTACTTAAATTGCTTGCCTTTGAAGGTTCCATTCTATTTACTACAGTATTTTACTTTCTAAATAGATATATTTATTAGCTCATTGTCATGTAGAAAAGTTTTGCCCAGCTACTCAAGCTCTTCCCTCTCTCCCCCACAAACTTGCTAGAGTTTTGATTTAAGCTAGCATTACAGGTACAATTTTATACATTGTTAATAATAGTTTATCTTTCCTTACAGAGGACTTCATCAACTGGTATAAATTATATTAAACAATTCATTGGCTCAACCCAGAAATGTAACCTCTTAGGAGATGAAATGTGATGAAATGAAGGAGTTCTTTAAATGCACTCGATAACGCCACAAGGGCAAGAAGTGAACTGTAATGTTGCCAATTGGAAATAAGGAGGCAATCTGGGTGAGCAGGATATAAATACTAGATTTAGGACTGGGCCAAACAGGGGTAAACATTCATAAACTTGTCAAAAGTGTAATGGGATCTTGTCATCATTCATGTCATCACATAAACAGTACATTTTCACGATACCCCTTCCCTTGACATCTTACTAGGATGCCATTTTAGTACTCAGAGGGAATTGCACCACTAGCTGCATCACTGGCCATGTCTACATCATCAGGTAGCATGGCACAGTAGGAGCACATCTGTAGATCACAGCAGCTGGTGCCGACTACTTCAGTTTAACCCATACATGCTACAGGGGGAGGAGGGTGGGAGGGTTACTTTAGAATAGGTCTCATCTGCCCCCTGTATTGAACATTCCTACTGCATGTGGAGTTTGAGGAGATCTGAAGGAAAGAGTCCA